ATTCAGAAATTCTAGCCGAAACTTCGAGTTTCTTTCATTTTCTTATAGTTTTATGACATTAGGTAACCTTCTATCATCATTTAGTTCCATTTTCATCTATTTAGTATGAGTTATGACTAAATTTCTTCATCTTCCGCGCGCATTTTACCAGTGTAGCGTGTCTTTCAAAGTTTTAGATAAAAGACTAGACAATATCATTACAAAAACGTAACCGTCATCAGCAAATGGCTCTAACAGATGCCGAGCGTTCCCGTCGTTATCGTGAAAAGAAGAAAAACGCCGGTTTAGGCGAAGTTATGAAAAAAAATGATCGAATACGTAAAAGGTTAGCGCGTGCAAAAATGTCACCACATGATCTTGCTACCCTACGTTTGCGTCAAATTGAAAATAAAAAAAAATTTCGTTCCAAAGGGAAAAAACAGCCACCAGCAGCAGCAACATCTTCATTTCGTACAAAACAAACGAAAGCTAAAGCATTGAAAAAAGTTATTAATGTATTACCAGCAAATAAAGATAAACAAATTGAATTAGTACAACATCTTGCTCAAAATTTAGGTATTATGAAACAGAATAAAGAGCATGAACGTGCAACAAAAGCCATACCATTAGCTGCACAAATAGAAGTTCGTGAATTTTTTTGTCGTGATGATATTAGTTATCAGGCACCTGGTAAACGAGATTCTATTACAATAAAAATTGATGGTATTAAACAGAAACTTCAAAAACGTTACTTATTTTTTACATTACGTGAAGCTTATCAATTATACATCGATGAGGGTCCATATGTTATTATTAGTCGGTCAAGTTTTAAAGATCTAAGACCACCAAATGTATTGTATAAATCCTCAACGCCACACAACGTGTGCGTTTGTCTATATCATGAAAATGTATCTCTTCTTCTTAAAGCTCTAAATGAACATACTGATGGTTTAAAAACAATTAATTTACAATCATTTGTCAAATTAATAAAACCACCTGGTAATAGGAACAGAAAGTTAATTGATACAAGTAAAAATAAATAATACCATGGCATTAAGTGACCAAAATGACAAACAATCACTGAGGAAAAAAAGCATATAACAAATAGTGTTGTATACCAATACTCTGGTACTTCCTTAAATTTTGACATTAGTTTTCCATGTACATCATTTACTGCCTCATCAAATGACATATAAAATTGCTTTTTTATATATTTACCGTGATATAATATAGTATGTACAATGACCGCTGTTATAAGAGTAAAATGAATACAAAAATTGACTAGCAGTATCGGTGTCAAGTGAGGAGAACTATAGTGTTCATAGGCTGTTTGATTTAAATGAGACTTGTTATCTACAATCAACGGATAATTATATATAGTACCATTTAGAGTATATGCATCTTGTGCGTATATAGGCAGTATTTCTGAATTCCATGTATTTGTATAATACAAAAGAGGAACTATCATCCAAAATATGACAACAAAACCCACAAATATATTACAAAGAGCCCACGATGGATAAAAAATTGGTGATGGAAAAACGAATGTAAGCGCGTTCCAGTCAAGCCGTAATGGTTATAGTATGCAACGTCGTTCATTAATGTTTCTATCCTGCTTAAAGCTTGGTCATTATATGAAAATTCCACCACGTGTAATGTTTTTAATGTTAATACTAAGTTCAATAGTTGGTTGCATAAT